TCGACCAAAGACAACCGAAGACATCGTCGCCTCGGGAGGCCCGCTGCTCGACATCGACATACCAACCTGGAAGATAGGCAACCCGCGGTTTACTATGAAAGGCACCCCCTTTTTCCGAGGCTCGAGCTATGCGCCAACAGAAGAGATGTCGAGGTCCAGCAATGTCTCTTTTCTGCGCTCCCAGCGCGGTGACCTTGCACCCCATTCGGGTGAGACCTCGTCGCTCAGGAAGCCGAATCCGATCTCGATCCCTCAAATCCGGTACCCGGCCGTCGACGCAATGAGATCGCCTCCAATCACATCAGCCCGCCTGCCTGCTCCTTACCGTTCGACATACCTTTCAACCCACTTAATCATCGAACCCGCAATGTTTGATGCTCTTACCTTCAGACCATCATGCGACGACAGAGCAATTGTGCGATATGCTACAGCGACTGGCGCCGTCACTGCCGCAACACCTCCTCGACTCGTTGCCGAGATCACATCACCCACGTTCCTCGACTATGAGCTCATATCAGACTTTTTCCTCACATATCGCGCCTTCTTGGAACCTTCAGATCTACTCCGGATGATCGTGGCTCGCCTTCGATGGGCGCTCGGCCGCGATGATGAGGTTGGCATGGTTGTCCGGGTTCGCACGTTCGTCGCTATTCGCCACTGGATCCTCAACTATTTCATGGACGACTTTGTGATTGACTACGGTCTCCGAGTGTCCTTCTGCAACCTCCTCAACGATTTTGTAGACGAGCTCTCCCAAGACGCTCGAGCTCGAAAAGTCCAGCTTAAGATTTTGGCCGAACTTAAAAAGTGCTGGAGGAGGGTGTGCGCGCAGTACTGGGACGGGCCCGACTTTGATTCTTCTCTCGACCCCGATGAGCCCATAGCGCCGGGAGGAATTGCTGGCCATCGTAATGCCTCTCTGGACCCGTCGTTTTGGGAAAACACAGACCTGCCGCCTCGCTTGTCTGGCCTGTTTTCTGCTGTAAAGCAGACCGCCGGAGACGAGAGAAGCTTCTACGCTGACGTTTCGCGAGCGGGCCATATTGGTGATTCACACATCTTGGGACCGCGGCCGAGCACGCCCGAGAACCAGATTGCCCAAGAGTTTGAGCCGCAGCAGACCTCGCCTAAGAGTATGGCCAGCTTGGATGTTGTCTCATGCTCGTTCCCCGGTAAAATCGGGCGAGCTGTGCATCCAGGATCTAGTAACCCTATGGCAGTTCATCCCGTGCCACCAAGTTCCGTTTACACAAACGCGGCTGCTATCGCCACAACTCCCCGAGCCCTCACCGGCAAGCGCGTTCGACCGAGCGCTAATCATAAGAGAAACGGGAGTCTGACCGACTCTCTCCGAGAAAGATCTCACTCTACCGACAAGCTGGGGTTGAATCAAGACACTGAGCACCTTCTCTCTTTTCCTTACGCAGGAAGTCTGGTCCGTGGAAATTTGCTTCCTCCCGGCCAGCCTTTTGTGGAGATACTGCCCCCCAACATGTCCAGCGAACAACGTGAAACAACCATCTTCCAGCAATCTCCTCTGGGCCCCGAGAAGAGCATGGCGTCGGCCATGTCAGGACCAGGCATGAAGAGGTTGATTGGCAGTGTGCGCAGGGCTCTTAGCACGAGAGGTCAAGGCGTGTCCCCCACCCAAGGAAATTTCATCAACATCTCGCCCATAGGCCCTCGTGGCGCGACGACGAATCGCCTGCCTGGCACCGCCATCGTACCGCAGGCTCGTCCGCATCAGAACGGCGTTCGACCGCCCGTTCGAATTGACCTACTCGGTGCTGAAATTGCGGAAGATTTCAAAAAGGCTGTCCGAGAAGATGCTGCTGCCGAAGCTGAGCAGCGCGACCTGGCGCTGCGCCTCCCGGCTGACCTCCCTTTGCATAGCGCTATCCCAGACGAAATGCTGGAATACTCAGCTGCGCATGTAGAGACACTCCTGGGTAGCCCCTCGATGGCCAATCCAATCATAGACGACCACTTGCGACCCATGAGCGACACAGGCATCACAACCGGCAGCAAATCCATCGTTATCGTCGACGATACGCTTCCCTTTGGTATACCCCTTCCGCTTCCCTTACTGCGTGGCCTGAGACCCAGCATACATGACTCTGTGGGCCATTCCGAGATCGACTTTGTTGACAACTTGCTCCCGACGAATGCCGATCCTACGCCTCCTAATACGCCACCAGCAGATGAATTGGGAACGCCGCGAAGATCGTCAAGGACTCTCAATCGACATGCCATCCGGCCGTCGCTCTCGTCTGACAACCTGCCTCCATTCGTTCCTGACCTTGCCACACTGGGTCGTGGGGAGCACGGTGCTAAGCCATCCGTGGACACCGGCCGGCCCTCCAGCGACGTGCCGAGACCCTCCTCAGAATCCAACAGACCTTGGACCGGCATCACTGGCCACGCCAGACCACCACTCTCTGGCTCTGCGCACTGGCGACAAATGTCTAGCAAGACGAACCAGTCCCTGAATTCTATCCTCCATCAAGGAAACACATCATTCCGGAGTGACTACCTACCCCCGTCGACTGTCAGGAGTTTTGATGCAACGACTTATTCTGAAGAACGCTCCATAGCAGACGATGATTTAGAGGCTCTCCCGCAACCTCTCCGCGTACTGCGACGTAAGCGTGGGGGCGATTTGCGAGCTGCCACCAACACGGGGCAACTGGATAATTTGCCACTACACAGGACGCGGTCCGTTGGTTCGCTAACAACCTACTCTGAGTCGATCCGCAGCTCGTACTTGCGAAGCCCTGAGCAAGATTCTAGTGCTTTTGTCGATGTTGCTTCGAGCCAGTTTTCACCAGAGCATGTCAATACTTTCTCGCTCGGTGTCATGGCGGAGCAACCACCTAAGCGCGACCTTTCTCTGTTCAGCACTCATTCGTCCAAGCCAGTCATGCGGCCGTCCTTTGAGGCAGAAGCTCAAAAGCTTGCACAAATTCCTGATGACGCTAATGACGACGGCGGTGTCGAGTCTGCGTTAGCCAAACTTGAGGGCAAATACGAGAAAAAGCAGTTCAAGTTGTCGATGGAGCCCACCAATACACCTAAGACGATTCCTGCTCATCTTGACGGGGCGTTTGGCGGTTCAGACATGATCGAGAAGCAGGGACCCGAGCATTTGCATCTTGGTGATGGGGTAGGCTCTACCAAAGCCCCTCACTACGTTGATGACTTGTCTTCTCCAAGCGGCCCGATCACCCTCCATGTTCCACGGAGGCGAGCGCACACGGATGCAAAGTCATTCCTCTCGGACAGTCAGAGCTTCGTATTCGTCGATTCCATTACTTGAGCGCGGGCTC